CATTCTGTCCCCTTATGCCTACCAGTTCTAATCACTTAATTGATCTCTGTAGCTAATAAACCTGTCTGACATTTTATCTAAGTGTTTTGCTTGAAGTGTTTGGGGAAACCTTTGCTCAGTGTACAAAAGCTGGTGCATCTCCTCTCCACATTGAAGGAGGGGCAGCCTGGGTTCTAACCTTATGCTGGTCAGACTTCTGACGAGGGCAAGACGGTACAGCTGTGGGGTCCTGAGCTGGGGGGGAATTGGCTGGAGCCTCTCTATATAATGTTAGTTCATGAGTAGCTGGGACAAGCATTCAGGGCCAGTTCTGACTTTTTTGCTGCCCCCAAGCAAAAAAAAGAGCGCTGCCCCACCATAACACACCCATAACGCCTCCTCAAGTGCTGTGCTGCCCCATGGAAACAAAAACAAGCAAACAAAAAAACCCTCCAGCGCTGCCCTGCCAAACCAAAAAACCCACAAAAACAACCTAAGTGCTGCCCCACCCCAAGCACATGCTTGGTTGGCTGGTGCCTGGAGCCGGCCCTGCAAGCGTTCATGTAACTCAGCTGGGTGTGTCCCTGCCTGGGGATGTCTAAGTGCAGTCTGGGAGAGGTTATCAGCTTGTCATAACATCAGTGTGAGAAGAAGCCCAGGTTGGTAAGCCAGAGAGCTCAGCAGTACCCCTGTCCGGGTTGCATCCTTGGGATCCCATCACTGGGGTGGGGGTAGGGAGAAGAGAAGGGAAATCTTTTTGATAGTCAGTGTCCAGCTGAAGCATGAACTTGAACATAAGACAAACTAGAGTGAGCCCAAGCAACCCATCACACAAGTGCACTTAAATTTGTCCTGCTCTAACTGCTAAGTTTTGTCCCACATCTCCCATTGGGAGGCTGTTCCAGAACCTCTCCTCTGGTTAGAAACCTAACTTCCAGCCTAAATTTGTTCACTGCCAGTTTATAGCCCTATGTTCTCTTGTCCTTTAGCTGTAATAGCTTTTGACTGTCACTGCTATTTACCCCTTCTAATTGCTCTCTATAAATCAATCTTATCCCCTCTCAGCCTTCTCTTGAGACTAAAGCTAAGCTCTTTTAGGCTCTCATAAGAGCCTAAACAAGCAAAGTTCCTCCATTTCCCCGATTATTCTAGTAGCTCTTGTCTGTACCTGTTCCAGTTTAAGGTTCTGAACACAGGTGACCAGATTTGTACACCATATTCTAAATGAGGTCTTAACAATGCCTTGTCTAAGAACATTAATACTGCTTCCTCTCTACTGAAAATACCACTCCTCATTATCTCCTAGGATCACATTTGCCTCTTTCACAGTCACATTGCACTGGTGGCTCACATTTTGTGATCAGCCCACACACCAAGGTCTCTTTCCTCCTCTCACTTCCAATTGAAGAGCCCCAACTTGTGGCAGAAATTCTTATTAAAACTTAAGTGCATGACCTTGAACTCTGTACTTTTGAATTCCATCCCATTTCTGTCACTCCGGCCTACAAGGTTGCCCAGGTCAGGTTAGTTTGGTATAATCCAGCTCTGGTAAACCAGTGTAGCATAACATCCCCCTTACCATTTACCTCTATGAATATAATTTTTCTTTCACAGTTTGCTCTAAAACCTGCAGACTAGTCAGGTCAGACTAACAGGTTTGTAACTACCTAGATTATTCCCCCCCCTTCAATATATGTACATTAATATTTCAGTTGTCATGTGGGAGCAATACCATATACACTTATTAAAAATCCTTGTTACTGGACTAGCAGTGCCAGGTCTGGGATGGAAATTCTTTCCCCTAATTTAAAGTTGAATGTGCTCTTTCCACCTCTATTTTTAGAGACTCTCATTCCCAGCAGCCATACTGCCTTGAACACATGTTCCATATTATTGAATGCTTTCTCAGTTTCATTTAGTTTTTTTGGGTCATTATCTTTAATCTCCTTCCTATCCACACTGCATAGTAGCCCAAGCGCTACCATCCTTAAATCCTTATTCTATAAAGAAAGAGTAGAGCTCTTGGTAGAGCTAATTCAGCTTGACTTTTAGCAATTCTCACTTTATTTCTACACTCTTCTAACCTCCACGATAGTGGGTTTTGTTTTTTTTCTTTCCCTCTCTGATCAGCCTCTCTTCCATTCCCTATGGACTCTCTGCTTACTACTATTTTTTGGAAAGGGTGACTCATCTAGCTCTTTTCCTACAAATTCCCTCTCCTATCTTTCTTTGCAAATGCAAATACTCTTCAGTTGCTTGAGAGCAGGCCGGCTCCAGGGTTTTGGCCGCCCCAAGCAGCCAAACAAAAAAAACAACGAAACAAAAAAAGCCGCAATTGCGATCTGCGGCGGCAATTCGGCGGGAGGTCCTTCGCTCCCAGCAGGAGTGAGGGACCGTCCGCCAAATTGCCACCGAACAGCTGGACGTGCCGCCCCTCTCCAAAATGGCCACCCCAAGCACCTGCTTGGTAAGCTGGTGCCTGGAGCTGGCCCTGCTTGAGAGTAGGGAAAGAGAACCATAAATTGTTTGACCTACCATGCAGTAGCTTAATGGGTTAGGACTGGGAGGGTTGCTTTCTAGCTGCTGAAAAACCATTGATTCCCCTCTGTAGGAAAGACCCTGTAAGAAGACACATGCATGTTTATGGGAAACTCAAGCAGGGGCATGAAACCGCTTTCAGCCATTTTGAGGACTGGCTTTTGAAACTGGTTCAAGAAGCTGGGTTCTCCCTTCCACTGCTGCATGAAATGTGAAAAGACTTTGATCCAGTTCCACCCCTGGTGAATTCACTGAGGCCAACCAAGTTAAATTTAGTCCTTTATCAGGGCTAAATTAAGCCCTTCTCTCAAAAGTCAGGGAGGGGACTATAAAATCACCCATTAAGCAACTTAATTAACAAAGGCTATATCGTTCTCCTAGAAAAAGAGACAGATAATAGCAGAGGAGAGGGTAAGCCTATGGTCAGCATTTCAGTTGTGGTGATTCACATTATTCTTGCCTTTCAAGGTTAATCTGCTTTAAGAAACGGGTTAAAGTAAGAGCTCTGGTTTGAGCTGGCACACTGCAAGAAGGAGCCATGCTTGGTTCCCCCACTGATTCTAGCTTTTTCTTAAATCAGACACTGGGTCAAGCTGTGTTTCCTCAGGAGGAGACTGGGAGGGATGAGATTCACCAGGCAGATTCATGTCTGCCATGGACTTGGCTTAACCTTGGCAGCTGGGGCATTGGCTACATTTTCAATTTTGATCTTGATTCTGATCTATGCCAGTATAGCTCCATTGGAAGTAACGGAGTTACTCCTGACTTTACACCAGTGTATGCCTAATTGAGAGGAGAATCAGGCCAAGAGTGTCTAAACAGGGGACCCTCAACTGCTTCCCTGAAGTAGGCAGTATCTATCAGTAACCCCAAGCATTCAAAAATCATGAAGGCTTTAAATTACTTTGGATTTTTTTAGTTGCTTTCTGGTTTCTGAGCCATCTGGGTGTACTCAGGTCATGTGTTCAGGCTTTTCTCTGCAATCATGATAGCTAGAAAATCACTATACAACTGAAGTGAGTTTTCATGTAATCCCATAACTCTAGGAGCTGGGCCTCTGAGAAAAACATCAGCTACTGCTAGACTTGAGGTTTGCAACAGTGAGCAGCTACTGCAAACAGCTGTCCTGTGGGTGTAAAGTTACTGTGTGCAAAGCCCATTGTAAGAGTATGCTAGGCCTCTCCTAAGTGTGAAACATGCGGTTTTCTGTGATTGTCCCTGTCTATCAATGGGATAAGAGTTTAATATTGGCTCCAGCAGTCAGCTGTGTTGTCTATCAGTTTTCTCAGTGCAGGCAGCCCAAGAATGAGAGCCTGCTTAACCCTTCATTGTATTGAGGTATGAAGAAATGACTTTTTTTTTTTTTTAAACCTGGTGCAATTCCATTTTTCTCCCCTATGGAAGAAAACACTGTCTAAAATTAGCCTTCCTCTTGATTCAGTGTCTTTGTCATTCCCCATAGGAATGGTAGACTCCACAATCCTGAGATCCGGAGCGGTACTATCTGGGCTCATCTCATCCATTCCCTGGCAGTGGTTGTGCCTTGGTCTCTTCTGTTTGTCTGTGGTACACAACAGTTTAGCCTTCTGCCTGATGTTTTTTAGTCCACCTAACACCATTCGGTGAAATGGAATGTAGTGGGACTATCCAGGAGGGCAGAGTAGGATGATCTAATGATCCGTTGTGGGTTTAAGATTAAATAATTGATAGTTTATAAGTTCTGCTCTTGTGAACCTTTTCAAGGCTGCTGGCCTGCTGCGTGGTAGAGGAATAAGATGCCATTCCTCCAGCACCTCACTAAATACCCCTGTGCTCTAGACACATTATTTCCTTCAACGTAAGTCCAAATTTTGCCCTGCCTTACACATTCAGCTGACAAATGTGGACACAAACTTCCACTGTTTTTACTCTTATGTTGAGATCCTAAAGAACTTAGAGATGCTGCAATAATGGTCTGACAGTGCTAGACACTTCGTTACTCATGCGTTTAGTGCAGGTACAATAACCCAAAACACATTAAAATGCTGATGTTCAATATCTTTAGTCCCCAAAATGGACCTGAACTCAAATAGTGGTAACCACATGACACTGCTTCTGCAGATTCTTGTAATTTCTGGGTTATAAACCCCACAGTGGATGGCAGTCAGTCAGATGCAATATCTTGGATAGACATTTTTATTCTAAACATGCATCTCAGCATCTATTCACTTCTTCCCTCCCCCCCCCCCCAAATGTTTAGGTTTTTAACTTCAAATTGCAGGACATAATGTCCCTCCACAAATTTGTAGTGCTGATCCCTGCTGTCTTGTGCAGCATCTTAGAAGTAAGACTGGGTCCTAGCATGTATTTATATCCAAGCACACTTCTCTTGAGGACACACATGTGCAAAAACATAAAAACAAACAGTGCCTCCTGCCTTACAAGATGATACAGTTCAAAGAGCAAGAAGGGATGCTTATTTCAAACATTTGGACACCAGGTTGTTTTGTCTAGTTGCTTATAAATATAATTTATTACCTGTTTAAAAATTCTTTCTTACACTTTGTACATGTCAAGCTGACAGAATAAATGCAGGCATTTACAAACAGAGGGAAGGAGAAAAAAGGGAGAAGAGGCACACTCAGAACTAGTAAACCACACCTCCACTGTACAGCAATACAAATAATGCAATGGCTAGCACTTCTCTGTTAGTAATTCTTTAGAAAAGGAATTGCATAGAAGATACAGCAACAGGAAAATGAAAACCAAACAAAATACATCTCAGTATCGGAACAACACGCAAAAAAACCCCAAAACAAAATCCAACAACCTTAAGTAATATGTCTGTAGTGGAACTGTGACATACCTTCAAAGCATGGGCCATGCAAGATTTTCCTTTGTTAGAGACCTCTGTGTTTTAAAAAGGCATTGACTGTGTGATCTGCATGTCACTGTTTAGTATTAAATGGAAAGAGGGCATTTTAGTAAATGAAGTCAAACATGTACATCTGTACTATAGCTGGGGAGAACAAATGCTCAATACTGATTGTGTTTTATGCCCTGCTCTGGAGGGGCTGGTGGCTGATGCCTGGGTTGGAGAATGAGAGCCCACAGTAGGGTGACCAGATGTCCCGATAAAATCAGGACGGTCATGATATTTAGGCATTTGTCCCGCATCCTGATATTTCCCACTTTTTTTTTTTTGCTCCACCGGGGACCCCCCTCCACATGTTCTGATATTTTCTTCCTCTCATCTGATCACCCTAGCCCACAGTGTAGTTCACTCTTTATAGTCTTGTTTATTTTGCAGGCTTATTTCTTTTTAGGATCCTTGGTTTACACATTACTGTAGATTGGTGGAAATGGCCACCTAAGCTCTGGCAAACAAAGCTAGCTGTTCTCAACTAAGGCCTGTTCTGCCACTGGATGCCAATCAGAAATTGGTATCCTGCTTTGAATGATGTGACTTGTAACATCTGGGTTCTTAAAAGAAAACCCAGAAGTTAGCTTGATGCTAGAACTATTGAGTCTCCTGCAATCAGAAGGTCAAATCCAGAGTACAATACACACATAGCAATTAATTTCTCTGTAAAAAGTAGCAAAGACTAACCCACTAATGTAATGTACACTTTCACTGACATCATAAGAAATGCTAAATACCCTTTCACCTATAGAGATGAGTGAAATTATCTATATATTTTTTGTATAGGCATTGCTTGAAGAGGGACTTTCATGTGTTGGGTTAGGGGGGACTTTGAGACATACCAAGCTTAAATGGGGGGGTAAGTGAATGAGTTTGTATCCAGAGACGAGCTCATGCCCCCAGACAGTGTTTTCAGTTGTGGGGGTTTAGTGAGGGTCCATCTCCATGCATTGTCTTGCCAGTTACCAACCCTCTTAGTACTGAAACCATTACCTCCCTCCTGCCACAGCTCTGCTTACCTGAGCTTGCAGTGATGCTAAATGCTGAATTTGGGACATCACCATTTTTTTTTCTCATTGGAATGAAATGGAGTGTGCAGCCAAGGGATTGTAACTTCACTCTAGAGTCATTTCCAAAGCAGCAGCTAGGCTGTGAGGAAGTAGGAATCGCTTATTCAACCACACTTATCTGACATCATAGCCAAGGGCCTCCAGCGCTTACTATAAATATCATTCCCCCCCCCCCCCGCGCCCTCAACTTTGCATTCATGTGAAAGCTCCACCTTGAGGGGAACAGGATACTGAAATGTGTTTAAAAAGTTGCAATGTGCCTTACAAAACTTTGCAAACTAAATGCTCAAAATAGAGATTCGAAATAGCAATAAGGGTGACCCTGAAGTGAATACCTGGTTGGAGTCCCTCACAGGGGAAGGTGTAAAGGCGCTGTTTTCATTCCTAAACCACTTGCATCCTTATTTTCTGACTGTCCTCTGAGGGTGACTAGTCACTTCAGGACCAGCCACCAGATTAGAAAAATACCTGAAAAGATTTTCAAATGCTCAGTAAGGTAGTTTACAAAGTGCCCTGAACTTAGGATCAAACAGATTCAACCGTATTATCGTGTATAAAATTAATCTAAGTGCTGTAGTCACTACTTGACTAAAACACACAACAAAGTCTAAGAGGTTAAAAAAAACCCAAGCCTATTTTGGGTAGCAAGCCAAGCATCCCATTAGGACCTTATCAATGATAATTGGTTTACTCTGTGTAAATACATCTATAGGTGAGCAACAGAAATGCCAAGATACTCAGGTTGACAGAAATATCTTTGCTCTATGTGCCTCCCAAACAGCTAAATGTCCTGTGAATGTTTACATTTCTGTGGATGTCAAAAAGGAGTCTTGGTCACTAACCATCTCCTACAAAATCAAATCCTGTCTGAAGAGACCTCAATCACTTCAGAATGTACATGATTCATAAAAATAATAATCAGCGGGTCTCACGCTGTTCAATATGATACAGCTGGTGTGCATGTAAAACTTACTCAGAACTTATCAAGTACACTAACAGCTGCCTTTACAAGGAAAACAACACAAAAGAACCCAAAGCAATGAGGCTAAAACAACTCCATCCAATAGTGATTTTAAATCAGAAACTAAAGATTTTCTTCAAAGTCTGTAGATATTTTTTATATATTTATATATAACATATATATTTTATTTATATCATTAGCAACCAACATGTAATGAGGAGGTGGCATAATGAGCAGCAAAATTGCAAGAATTCAAAATCATGGGGTGGGCAATGAAAATATTAAAGTTAAAAAAAAAAAGTAAATATGTTGAGGATAAGAAGCGTGCAGTCATCTTTTAAACAAGCTGATTCCCCCATTGTAAATGTTATGACGGTTCTTAAGAGTTGGTGCTGTCTGCACAACTGAATTGCCATTCTAAACAGCCGGCTCACAACATTTATTTCCCTCCGGTAATATGTAAGGTAATCTTTTGTAGTTTTAAGCTGGTGTCAGTATTCCATAAAGAGTATGGTCCATAGCACTAGATGGCAGTGTGTACAAACATACAGAGGTAAGGACTGCTTCTATTTTCTCCTATCCAAGGGATTTTGAAAATTAATCCCTCTCCCCAAAACACCCCCCTCCCCACACTACCCCCTCCATTTCCCCAATGGAATGGATGCATATTGAATGTGGAGCACTCCCAAGTGAAATTTAAAAAGATGGGTTTTGAGCTGCAAAAGTATCTGCCATCCACGAACCACTTAGGCCTTTTTTGGGGTGGGAAGAAAACCCCCAAAACAAAGGAAGCTTGAATTGATGTGGAAGCTAAAGTGAGAGAGAGCTAAAGGTTTGGATGGGACTCAGAGGGGCACCAGATTCCCGAATCAGTTATCCAAGGAGGTGCAATTGCAAAGTCCGACCGATTACCTATCACTAATCTTGAGCGTTAATTTACGTTGGACCATTCAACAGAAACATTTAGGCTACACCAAAAGCTTATACGGTGTCATTAGACCCTGCCACCCCTGTGAACCTACTGCAAGGGAAGGGAAGTAGAGAGCACCTTTGTCCCTACACTGGATTACTTGAGATCTTTTCAGATTACTGGACACCCAAGCAGATGGGCTGGAATAAGAATAGGAACAACTGCGGTTCTGAGTCAAGAGCACCTCCCCTTTCTCAACAAGTGGCAATATTAGTTTGGATAGGCACTCACTCTCCACCCACCTCAGAATATGAGCTAAGCTTTTTCTACTGACCAATCCCTTAGTGGCAAAATGAGGGAAGTACTGTACATTGAGAATGATGTTGTCCTGCTGTCAGAATTGCTTACCCAAAATCACCCAGCTGCAGGTTTTTTTTGCGAAGAGCGCTCCAACACCAAGCTTATGCTTAAGGCAGTTTAGCCTGTGACTATCAGAAACTTCCTTGCATGGTTAGGGTGAGAAGGCTGCAGGTTTTCTTACCGAGTGAAAACATACTGTAGCGAGTTCAAAGGATCTTAGAGCTTTATACGACAAAAGCTGCTCCTAGGAGTGGAAGGCAGGAGCTGAGAGACAGAAAACAGCATCAGCCTGTCCTGAAAGAGCAGCCCAGCAGGAGGAGTATGAAAGACGTACCTGCTTGGAGCTGAAAGGGAGGAAAACTGGGACACATCTTTCAGCCCCCCTCTTACACCATTGGGGAGGAACAAAGTGTGGGAAAATGGTTAATGTTGCTGAAAGGCAGGGACTCTGCTTCCCTAAAGAGGAAGAAATGAAGGAGTCAGAAGGCCATAGATGAGCTTAGGTTGGGAAGGCATATTGGAGACAAGAGGGGAGTAGTGGGGAAGACTAGAGGAAATGGTGAGACTGAACCAAAACCCGCTCAAGTCTATGGAAAGACGTCCATTGATTTCCATGGGGTTTAGATTAGGCCCGAAAACAACAGGATTATAAGGCTGCATATGAAAAGGACAATCAGGTTGAAGAGCATCAGAGAGAGTCCTTCACTTCACACTAAAACGCAGGCAGATTCTGCAGGTACGAACCTGTGCACACCAACCCTATGAGTCTATATCTGGGTTTCACCACTTCTGAGTTGCTGGCAAACTGCTCTCCACCCAGGGAATGGTTTTATGAACATTGTCCCGTGTTTAATAAATACACGGTCGGTGACGCTGAGCTGAAGCTAAAAAGCCTACAGAAATGTCAAAATGGGGAAAAGGTCAGACGAAATTCGCCTTCCATTTCGACGAATGACATTTCCACAGTTACATTTAAAAATGCAGACTTTAAAACCTGAGGAGAAAAAAAAATCCCCTAGAAGAATACAAAGTGAGAGTATAAAATAAATAAATAAAATAATCAGGGGCTGGCTCGATGGCATGGGTGAGAATGCTTTCCTAGCATTGGAAGTGAAAGGAAAGGTTAGGAAGAAATATTGAAATGATATGGCCTACCTCATACAAAAGAGTCACTCTTCCCACTAAGCACAAAGCAAAACAAGTCTGCAAAGAAATGGCAACCGGAAAAACAAGAGTTAGCTTTACTTGCCTAACTCCCCACATCAGCTGTTTGCACACATCAACATGGCCAAGAGGGACATGGGATGAAAACAAATGAGCACCTTCTACCACAGCGGAAATGAGTTCCAGCCGTAACTGATGAGACAACTTCGAAGAACATTTATAGGGTGTGGAAATAGCGAGGAGAAAGCTCTGCTGTAGAGCAGAATTCAACACTGTTATTCTACACTGCCCTGTGGGGTGGAACTCTTATGGTCTCCAGTGGCACTTCCCTGCATGGAGGCAGAGCAGCAGTAAAGATCCACCATACGGATCACACACACCAGAATTTGCCCGTAGAATAAAATGGAGCGGCCTCCCCGTTCCATAACTGTCCTCCACTATCATACACCTTTGATTAAAATGGAAGGGACTGATTTTCAGTGGGGCTGAGCACCCACAATCCCAAGGAAAGTAAATGGGAGTGGTGGCTTTTCAAGACCTGTTTTTAAAAAAAAAAAAAAAAACGAGCCTAAGGTCTTTATTTTCCAGAGTACACATGCATATTTTTGCACACACAGTGCCTGATGTCACACATGAATATCCACATCAGGCATTCATGAGAAGTACCTGCATACTGTTGCTACACGTGCTTCTGAAAATTAAGGACTATGGGTGGTTGGTTTGGGAGGGTTTATTCACAGCACGGTTTCCAGCATAACAATGGATGTTTGCTCCTCAAATCATTAGTAAATAGGGGGTGTTGCAGTAGCTCACATGGTGTGGTAGTTGGAACTCATTGAACTAGATCCTCTGCTGGTTTAAATCATTGACTTCAATTTACACCAGTGGAGGAGCTGATCCAGTGTATGCTAACCATGTGAGCATGCCCTGCTGGCAACCCGAGGCCTTGGAGGGTGAGCACAATGGCTGGAGAAGGGGAGGGAGAGTGGCATTTGAAGGGAAGTGTGTTAGAAGAACCCATGCAGCTCCAGAAGGGAGAGAACAGGTTCTGCTGACACTTGAATGATACATGCTATTGCTGACAAAATTAGAAATTAAAATAAAATAATAATAATCCTTGCACTAGATACTTATCAGTAAATAATCATTATAGCAAAATCTGTTTTCAGGGTTATTTCCCGCCACCCAACCCACACTCCAAATTGCATCTCCCTCACGCGCACATACTTTCTTTAAGAAGGGAGTGGATTATATTGTGAGTTGAAAATGAATCCCTATCTTCCCTACAATCCTACAGCTATTTTTCACAACGAACCCGTGGAATTCCCTTGGGGGAGGCGGGGAGAGAGACATGCATTCCTGCTTAGCACCCAGATTATCTGCTTTCCAGATGCATACGTTTCAAAACACTGGTCTTACAACCAGTTCCAAGAAACAGAACAATGATGGGAGGATTATTTTGAGACACTTGATGCACGGATTTGTAGCCAAAGTCTGAATTTCACTGGAAATTGATCATCTGAAATAGCCACAACCAACTGTCCACAGCTTTGTCTAGAATGGCTTGAAACAAAAATATAAAAAGCCCTGGACAGTCTCCTTACCCCTGTCCGGTATTTGATGTAAACAACGTCCATAGAAACTGGGATTGTTAAGAAAGTTTATCCATACATCTGGATAGCAATAAAAAGCGTTTCCTAGGAAACTGTAAAATCCTGTACCAAGCAGTGTACAGCCAAGCTGAGGGGAACGTTAGGTTGATTTATATTTTCAAGGTACAACTTTGCATGATTTCTTTTAGATCCTGTCATAATGTACAAGGAGAACATATGTGAAAGTCAGGGCTGATGTTTTCTTCTCTGAAATGTCTTTTGTGAAACTCATTGGTCTGGGTATTCATTTTGTTTCTTATTCATAGCTCACAGGGCAATACCACTCCCCTAGTTCCATTCCTTCTTTTTCATTCCAAGGTTGCATCAATATTTTCCTTCTGCCGCCAAAGAAACAACTGTCTCATGTCTTCCCATTTCTTCGAGGACTGCCGCCAACATGCTGAGGTTGCCATCAGGAAAATTCTGGGCTTCCCAAAGATCTAGGATCACGCCAGTAGGACTCGATTTTGTAGCAAAATAATTTAGGTACCTGCAACAGAACAAAGGAAAATGGTCTTGTAAGACTGGCTGCCTCTGTCAATGCTGATTCAAACTATCCGCAAACCACACCCAGTATGTACACTCTGCATGAGCATTCACTGTGACTAGTCTGTAGGTCTTTGTACTGCACTTGTGCACTGAAACCTTCTGCACCAGATCTTCAGCTGGTGTAAATCGGAGTTGCGCCCCTGGCTTAAATAGACCTGGGCTGATTTAGACCAGCTGATGGGGATCTGCCCCACCTTTTAACAGCTGGCACTCTCCTCTTGCCTATGCGGTTCATCCAAGCCTTGCTATTTTGTGGGCCACTTACTCTGTAAAAGTGCTCTTTGAGAAACTCCTCTCACACTGAAGTCAATGGCAAATAGCCCACCGATTTCACTGGGACCAGGGTTGGACCCTTAACAAGGACAACAGTAGGTGAGCTCACTTCCCGCGTACACACCGGTCTATAACAACAGCCCTTATGTATTCACTCAGCCACGTTGTTGAGTTCATACATGCAACACACCCACCTGTCCAATTTCAGTTTGTGGGCCAACATCCTCCAGTCATGGCCCCTGGTCTGTGGGGCATCAAGGCTGCTGCAGAGCTTCTGTCTGATGGGCAGGGGAATACTGAAAGCGCTCGGTCCCACTACGGTGGTGATGGTACTTGCTGAATCCATGAGAGGGTAATCAATGCCAGTAGGTTCCTAAGTTTTGCAGAAAGGGGTGGGGGTGGAAATAAAGCAGCATTGTTACTGCACACAAAAGCAATCACCAAGCACAAAGGCAGAATCCTATTGCTCGCGTTGGGTGGAGGAGCAGCCTCGTGCTAATCAAGTTGTATACGCGCTTGATGTCAGTCAGCTGAAAGGAACGGAAATATGTACAGCTCACTTCCACAGGCAGCAGGTTTATCACCACTCCAGGTTGGTCTAGGTCCGGGGTAGGCAACCTGCGGCACGCGTGCCAAAGGCGGCACTCGAGCTGATTTTCAGTGGCACTCACACTGCCCGGGTCCCGGCCGCCGGTCCGGGGGGCCTCTGCATTTTAATTTAATTTTAAATGAAGCTTCTTAAACATTTTAAAAACCTTATTTACTTTACATACAACAATAGTTTAGTTATATATTATAGACTTATAGAAAGAGACCTTCTAAAAACGTTAAAATGTATGACTGGCACGCAAAACCTTAAATTAGAGTGAATAAATGAAGACTCGGCACTGAAAGGTTGCCGACCCCTCGTCTAGGTGAAAACCTCGGGCCCAGCTTGATCAGTTAATGTGGAGAAACACCAAGCTCTTTCTTAGGGCAAAATGCTACCCTTAGAGCTTTACAGCAGATCTCAGTGACTTCTGTGTGTGGGAAACTCTCCCTGATGTGGGGAGCCACAATTATGGGGAGCAAGGAATATCGGAGATGAATTTTGTGGGGAAGAGCATTTGGCGTCAGATGACAGAAAAAGCATCAAGGGCCCTATGTTTCCCGTGCGTGTAAATGAAAATATGGAAGCATTTACCCCCCAAAGATGCATGGGACTTGGGGGGAAGGGGTATTTTTGATGCACCATTCCCTCTTGGGCGTGGGGCCAGCCATGGTGTGCTAGTACCAAGAGGTAGGGCAGCCCCCGTTGGGTAGTAAGGGGGAGACATCTCTCTCTATATTCTCCTCCTCCTCACACACATGGAGAGACACAGACACAGAGCAAAGGCGTTGCAGCAGCTTGGTGGATGTGCTGCTATTATCTCTCAGCCAGCACCTGTGCTCTGGGAGTCTTTTGATGGGGGACAAACCGTGGAGAGAGAGTTGATGCCGCTCCAGGCATTAGCTGATCCCTCATTTTTATGCGGACCTAAGTCTGCACTACGATGTGGAACATGCTATTCCCCTGCTCCTGCTGCATCCCCACTCCCCGGCTCTCTCTTTTACACAAAGCCATGGGCTAACAAGCAACAGAGGCTTTACACAGAGGAGGAAGCATCCTGGCAGTCACTTTTCTCCTATATACCCTTTGTGGGTTTCTTTGAAGTTCTACTACCTTCTATGTTGTCATCTGGCTGGCAGGAATAGGGGGAATGGAGCCACCTCAGCCTATTACTTTACACCAAGTGCCACATATTTGACATACATAACTGAATAATCTATGAATGACAAGTGGTGGGTGCTTTGGGGTAGGGACCTTGTCCATCTGCTTGTCTGAAAAGTGTCTTAGCATGCGTTGGGTATAGAGCAGGGGTGGGCAAACTTTTGGCCTGAGGGCCACATTGGCGTTATGAAACGGTATGGAGGGCCTGGTAGGGAAGGCTGTTCCTCCCCAAACAGCCTGGCCCCTGCCTCCTATCCACCCCGTCCCACTTCCCGCCCCCTGATTCCCCCCCTCAGAGCCCCCAACCCATCCAACCCACCCTGCTCCTTGTCCCCTGACCGCCCCCTCTGGGACCCCCCCCATCCAACCCCCCACCGCTCCCTGTCCCCTGACTGCCCCTACCCCTATCCACACCCCTGCCCCCTGACAGGCCCCCTGGGACTCCCACACCTATCCAACGCCCCCCATTCCCCGTCCCCTGACTGCCCCTCCCCGAACCTCCGCCCCATCCAACTGCTCCCTGTCCCTTGACTGCCCCCCGGGACCTCCTGCCCCTAACCGCCCCTCAGGACTCCACCCCCTTTCCAACCACCCCCTACTTCCTGTCCCCTGACTGCCCCCCAGAACCCTCTGCCCCTTATCCAATCCCCCCCACTCCCTGTCCCCTTACCATGCCACTCAGAGCGACAGGACTGGCTTAGTGGAAAGCCTGGGAGGTGGGCGGGCGCAAGCTGCGCAGCCTAGCAGGAACGGTGGCCCAGAGTGCTCCCAGCGTGGCTGCGGGGGAGGCGGGACAGCAGGGGAGGGGCCGGGGGACTAGCCTCCCTGGCCCGGAGCTCAGGGGCCAGGCAGGATGGTCCCATGGCCCGTAGTTTGCCCACCTCTGTTCTAGGATCTTATCTAAACAAGTCATGAGACTAAATTTTGGTTGCTGATGTCCAGAGAACAGATGTCCCATGAGATCTGAGATCCTTTGTCTGATAACACCTCAAGAACATCCATTCTAGAATTATTCTGGCCCGTCTGCTTCCAGGCCCAGTCACAGCCCAGAAGGGCAGGATGCATAAGTGAAAAAGGATGAAGGGAAAAAATGAACCAGACATTTTCAGCCATGCAGGAAAGCTCAGCTAGGTTCAGATTTTTTTTTTATAATCCCAATGAGATCACCCTTTCAGAAGATACATGTTCCCTTTAAGGATCCTTCTTAAACAGGAGGCATACGCTCTACCTAAACCAAAATTGTTATGGCACACATAATTAAAAAGTATTTTTTAAACTAGTGGGAAAGTCAACAGGTGAGGAGGAGTGCACAGTTTGGGCAGAGATGTTTCTTAGGGATGAATTTATTAAAGGGGAAGGGACTCTATAGCCTAGTAAAGAGGATAGGAAAGAAGTTGGTAAAATACAGGTAGGAGTTACTGAGGAACAATCAAATGTAAGAGTCCCTTTAAATACAACACACAAAGGCAAGCAACTGAATATTGACAAAATGTACAGGTGCTTACATGCAAAAGCTAGAAGTCTAACTGCTAAGATGGGTGAACTAGAGAGTCTCACGTCAACTAAGGATATTGATATAATAGGAATTATGGAAACTTGTTGGAATGGCGATAATCAGTAGAACATGGTAATACCACGGAATGAAATATATAGAAATGACAGAGTAGGATGCGCTGGTGGGGGAGTGGTACTACATGTAAAAGAAAGCATAGAGTCAAATAAGGTAAAAATCTTAAATGAAACAAACTGTACCATAGAATCTGTATGGGTAGAAATTCCATGCTTGGACAATACGAGTATAGTAGTAGGAATATACTACTGACCACCTGATCAGGATGGTGACAGTGATTGTGAAATGCTCAGGGAGATTAGAGAGCCTACAAATGCAGAAAGCACAATAATAATGGGGGATTTCAACTATCCTCATATTGACTGGGTATATATCACCTCAGGACACGATTCAGAAATACAATGTCTAGACACCATAAATGACCGCTTCTTGGAGAAGCTAGTTCTGGAACTCACAAGGGGAGAAGTAATTCTTGATTTAATCCTAACTGAAGCACAGAATCTGATCCAAGAGGTAGCTTAGCCGCTCGGTAATAGTAACCATAATATAATTAAATTTAACATCCTTTTAGGGGGGATAATACTCAAAAAAAAATCAACATGGTAACTTCAAAAAGGAGAACTACATAAAAATGAGGAGGCTTCTTAGACAAAAATTAAAAGGAGCTGTGTCACAAAGGTTAAATGCCTGCAAGCAGCATGGGGACTATTTAAACACACCATAATAGAAGCTCAGGCTACATGTATACCCTGAATCCGAAAAGATAATGAGATGACCAAAAGAATGTCACCATGGTTAAGCAGCAGAGTAATGGAGGTCGTCAGAGACAAAAAGGCATCCATTAAACTTTGGAAGCTAAAACTTAGTGAGAATAATTAATAGGAAGGAGCACAAACTCTGGCAGGTTAAGTGAAAAGTATAATTAGGCAGGCCAAGAAAGAGTTCCATGCTTTTGAGAAGCAACTTGCTAAAGATGCAAAAACTAACAGTAAGAATTTTTTAAAGAACATTAGAAGCAGGAAGCCTGCCAAACAGGCAATGGGGTGACTAGATGACAAAAACAACAAGGAGTCTGGTGGCACCTTAAAGACTAACATGGCTACCCCCTGATAGATGACAAAGGTGACATAGGAGCACTCAAGGAAGATAAGGCCATTGCTGAAAAACTAAATGAATTCTTTGCATCAGTCTTCACTGCAGAGGATGTGGGGAAGATTCCCACACCCGAGTCATTCTTTTTAGGTCATAAATCTGAGGAACTGTCGCAGATAAAGGTGTCTCCGGAGAAGGTTTGGAACAATTTAATACATTAAACTGTCATAAGTCACCAGGATCTCTGTGTGGCTTAAAAGCTTGTTAGAAGTTGGTCTAATAAAAGAGATTACCTCAGCCAACTTTTCTCACCAGGACCAGATGGTATTCATCCAAGAGTTTTGAAGGAGCTCAAATATGAAACCATAGTATGAAACAAACTTCTGTACCAGATGACTGGAAGGTAGCTAACATAATGCCAATTTTTAAAAAGCTGGTGAGTCTAACTTCAGTACCAGGCAAATTAGTAGAAACTATAGTAAAGAACAGAATTACCAGATACATAGAGGAACACTATTTGTTGGGGAAGAGTCAACATGGCTTTTTGTAAATGGAAATTTTGCCTCACCAATCTATTAGAATTCTCTGATGGTATCAATAAGCATGTGAATAAGGGTGATCCAGTCAATATAGTGTACCTGGGTTTTCAGAAAGCCTTTGACAAAGTCCCTGACTACTAAACTCCTAAGGAAACTAAATAGTTATGGGATAAGAGGGAAGGTCCTCTCATGGTTCAGTAACTAGTTAAAAGATAGGAACCAAAGGGTAGGAATAAATGGTCAGTTTTCACAATGGAGAGAAGTAAACAGCAGTGTTCCCCAAGGATCTGTACTGGGACCAGTGCTGTTCAACGTATTAATTGATGCTCTGGAAAAGGGATCAGTGAAGTTGCAAAGTTTGCAGATGAAACAATCTTGAATAATTTTATAAAGTCCAAAGCTGACTGCGATCTCCCTATCCT